TAGATTTAGATTAGCGAAGGAGATGGCATACAACACCCCAAAATGAAGGAGAAGGTAAGAAAGGAGTACTACAGGCGTGTACTAAATGCCGAGCTGAACTCAAAAAACAGAATATCAGCCATAAACACCTAATGTCCTTAACTGGACCATAGCTGAAATTAAGCGAATGGACGCCAAAACGAGAAAGCTTCTCACTTGCTACCGTATGCATCATCCCAAAGCTGATGTTGAGCGTCTGTATGTGCCCAGATCCGAAGGAGGCAGAGGATTAGTTCAACTAGAACTGTCCTACAAAACTACAACAATTGGCCTCCAAAAATACTTGGAAACTACAGAAGACTGGATGAGGGTATGTGTCAAAGAACATGAAAATAGTAAGCGTCTTTACTCCGTAATAAAAGAAGCCAACAAATTCGAAATGGAGTTTCAAATGGATTCAGCAATACAAGTAAAGCACAGTACACCGGCTGAAACTGCAAAATACTTAAAAAAGAAAGCAAAGACAAATGCAACCGACCACATACAGAAGCGATGGCAAGATAAACCGCTTCATGGCCAACACTCTGCCCATACCAAACAAGCTGACGTAGACAAAACCCGTACCCATCAGTGGCTACGTAGTGCAGGGTTGAAAGCGGAAACTGAAGGTTTTACCTTGCGACACAGGACCAATGCTTGTTCACTAGGAATTATCAAGCACATATACTAAAATATTGTGTTAGCTCAAAATGCAGATTCTGTGATAAATATCCAGAAACGATTGATCATCTTGTATCAGGTTGCACGATGTTGGCAGCCACTGAATATAAAACACGCCATGACAGAGTTGGCCAATAACTGCACTGGAAAATATGCAACTTCTACGGGAAGGAAACTGAAAGAAACTGGTATGACACCACCCAGACCCGGTTGCGGAGATAGGACCTGTTACAATTATATGAGACTACACAATATACACAGACAGAACAATCAAGGCTAATCTCCCTGGCATCGTTATTAGAGACCGTAAACAAAAAAACTGCCTCCTTATTGATATGGCAGTGCCTGCAGACTGCAATGTATCTTTGAAGATATTCAAAAAGCTGTCAAAATACAAGGACCTTGAAATAGAAATCTCGAAAATGTGGCATATGGAAACATCAACAATCCCTGTTGTAGTTGGAGCCCTAGGATTGGTTGGAAAAGATTCCAGTAGACTAATTGAAGGAATTCCTGGAAGTCCATGCCTCAAAGAGATACAAAATATTGTTCTGACAAGTACAGCCCACACTTTACGAAGGGCTTTGTCTATGTCATTTTTTTTTTTTTGTCAGTGGAAAGTGTCATGATGCCATTTCTAACCTTAGGTCCTTGTGGATGGGGGCCAGAAAGAAATGTGTAAATGCTAGAAATCAAAGGAAATAATAATAATAATAATAATAATAAATAATCAAAGTGATGAAATCCATAAAAACAGAATATGATTTCTTATTGAGATGACAGTTCCTACAGACTGTATCGTTGAAGATCTTAAAAAATAAATCAAAATATAAGGATCTTGAAAAGAAAATCTAAAGCATGTGGCACATGAGGACATGGGTAATTCCTATTGTGGTTGGAGCGCTCGGATTGATTGGAAAAGGTACCAAATAGACTTATTGAAGGTATCCCTTGAAATGAATGTCTTAAAAATACAACAAAATTGTCTTCAAAAGTAAAGATCACACATTACGAAAAATCTACGTAAAATGTCTGTGATTTTAGGGTTTTATAGGGTTTTTTTTTTTTACAAAAATGATCAAAGAAAAAATGTCATGAAGCCATTTTTAACCTTAGGTCTCTGGTTAGGACCCGGAAAGAAATGTGTACACACCAGAAATCAGAGGAAATAAAATAATAATAATAATGATAATAGCAGATATTAAATAACGGCAATTTAATACGTCAGCTATCATATTTTTTTCCCAAAATACTGTCGTCTTGATGCTTCTAACTCTTGTTCCGATTTCCAGAACTTGTTTTCATTCGTCCAATAATAGCTGAAGCCCGCTTCAATTCTGTGTGAAGTTCAAGATACTAATCGATGAGTTCCCTTTTAGTATTTACTTTAGCGAAGTCAAATTGATATTTTCTCCTTCTTGTTGCCTTATTTATACCAAATCCATTCTCCTGGACGATGGTGGGTGGGTGCGTTTCAATCGCACACTAACCACAGGATTTTATACGTTTCATTCTCTAGAAAAGACCATGTTCTATCCCTATATCATTGTTTTCTCAGGTAAAAAAAAAAAAAAATAATAATTCACATGAACAGTTTCCTGTGGTTCATATTTTCTACCCAGTCATGCCTATTCTTATTTGCTGAGCTAAATTTATGTCTTATTATATTGTTGTTGATAAAGATGATGATTATGATGACGAAGACGACGACGACGATGATGATGATGATGACGAAAACGATGATGATGATGATGATGATGATGATGATGATGATGACGACGATGATGATGATGATGATGGTTGTAGTAGTTGCTGCTCTTGTCCTTCTGTTCATTGTGGTGATATGTGATCCTTATTGATAAGGTGGAAATAATTCAGAAACAAGTTTGCTTTTGAGCGAAACAATTGTAAATTAGTTGATGGTGCTAATGGATTTAATATAAACAAATGTCTTCCTAGAGAAAGAAACCCTACATAAAAGGAATAAAAATGAATGTTTATTTGGCTCATCTCTGCTTTGTTTATTATTGTAAAACGAAAATAATATTGTAACGTAAAGATCCGAAATGATTGAGTCTAGACAGTGATTCATTTGGAATGTGAGAAGCCATTTTAGTTTAAACATTTAAATTATTACAGAATAAACCAGAAAATATCCTTAACCAATTGCTGAGTAGTTCGAGGAAAAGAGCGAATTCAGTTTTCAGCTTGCACCAACAAAATTTTGTCCATGGTCTCCGCCTATCCAAGAAATATCTCTTCTTTTGAAGGGGAGCTAGGATTAACCCCTAGTGACTGAAGCATACCCAAAAGGCGAAATACAAAACGGGATTGACTATTTATAGCTTCTGGTCCGATATATGCGTAACACTTTTTTTAAGCCCGGTCTTATGCCACATTCTTTTAGGATATCTGGATAAAAGTTGTCGGAAGGAGATCGTTTTTAATTTCCTAACTGAAACACGTAAGCGGATTTTTTCACTCATAACGAAACGAATATTTTCATCATTTTCATTTATCCTACAGAATTGCAATCACGCAGATCCCCACCTCGTCCCACGGTTAATTATTTAAGAATAATAAAGATTAAAATATTTAATTTGGAAATTAAAATATCGCTCAATTCAAAAGAGAAAAAACTTGCAAATAAAAACAAAGACATAGAAAGATGTAAATATTAGAAGAGAAAGTGAAATAGATAAACATCAGGATTTCGCTCGAGAGTTAAAAAAAATTATGGAATATAAAAGTAATGATTTGTCTTATTGATGGCGGTCATAGAAACATTTATAAAATGAGTGGAAGAAGTAACTCATATACCATATAACCGAAAATATGAAGGAAAAGAATTTTTTAATTAAGGTTGACTTATAAGATAATTTCCAGGACTCTTGCCATCACTTGATCTTAGTGACATCCATCATAAATAAAAGAATTATAATGATAACGACGAAAAATTGAAACCCTACCTCAATACTACTACTACTACAGCTAAAAGTACTGATTATGATGATGTTAGATAAAACTACCACTATTACTACTAATAGCTATGAAGACATAACAATAATAATTTAAGTAACAGTATTGACTTTGACTAATACAGTGTAACCCGGATATAAGAGACCCGGATATAAGAGACCCGGATATAAGAGAAACCTGGATATAAGAGAGATTTTCTCTGGTCTCAAATTAGAGCCTGTGTTAATGTATATAAATTAGACGAAACCCGGATATAAGAGAAACCCGGATATAAGAGAGATTTTCTCTGGTCTCAAATTAGAGCCTGTGTTAATGTATATAAAATAGACCAAACCCGGATATAAGAGAAACCCGGATATAAGAGAGATTTTCTCTGGTCCCAAATTAGAGCCTGTGTTAATGTATATAAAATAGACCAAACCTGGATATAAGAGAAACCCGGATATAAGAGAGATTTTCTCTTGTCTCAAATTAGAGCCTGTGTTAATGTATATAAATTAGACGAAACCCGGATATAAGAGAAACCCGGATATAAGAGACTTCTTATCCAGTCCCGACAACTCTCTTATATCCGGGTTACACTGTACATTTCTCATTTCTGGTTGACTAATTCAAAGACTGATACTATGAAGAAAAGCAATAAATTAAAGTTCTTGCAGCGACCATAAATCATAATGAACATTAAATATAGACAAACAATATTGTTACAAGAATGCTAAAAAAAAGTTTTAAAAAATATATATGTTCAGTCATTTAGTCAGATTTTGGAAAATGATTCAGCCAAGAACTTTTCAGCGCCTTCTCGGAGTTATTTGAAAAAACATTGATAATAATCACTGTAATGTATAACACCGATGAAGAGGGAAAAAAAAAGTTGAACTTGCCTGTGGGATGTCGTGAAGACAGTTCGGAAACAAATTCCGGCGCAGACCCCCATCTACACATTAATATCATCTGTTGTTGTTGCTGTTTTGATTGTTGTAGTTTTATTAATTGTTATTAAAATGATAATTATTTCTGTTTTAGTTTTTATATTGTCAACGTCATTGTTATTTCAGTCGCAAAATTAACGCTGTTGTTTTATATAAAGAATAATATGGTTATAGTAAGATTTATCTGCATTTAAAGCATTATTTGTTTGTTCATACTTTCATTGTAGTTGGGGATGTTGTTATTTGACGAATTGCTGTCATCGTATTACAATTAATAGGAATGGTGATATTAGGCTTGCGTGTTATTCTAGAGGAAGGAAGGAAAGAAAGACAGAAAGAAATTGGAGAATCGAGCAAGATAGATAGGTAGAGTGATAGATACGAACAGACTACGATAGATAGATAGATAGACAGATAGATAGATAGATAGATAATGAAAGTCATAGATAGATAGAAAATGAAAAGTCATAGATAGATAGTGAACAGAGTGAGATAAATAGATACATATGAACAGATTGATATATATATATATATATATATATATATATATATATATATATATATATATATATATGAACAGATTGAGATAGTTAGATATGAACAGATTGAGATAGATAGATAGATAGATAGATAGATAAAGAAAAGTCATAGATATGAGCAGAGATAGATAGATAGATAGATAGATAGATAGATAGATACGAACAGATTAAGATAGGTAGATGGATACGAGCAGATTGAGATAGATAGATAGATAGATAGATATAGAACAGATTAAGATGGGTAGATGGATACGAACAGATTGAGATAGATATATGGATAGATATATATATAGATAGATAGAGAGAGAGAGAGAGAGAGAGAGATTACCAGCAAGTAATACACACACAAAAACGCACGCATATATATATATATATATATATATATATATATATATATATATATATATATACTGATAGATTTAAGAAAAAAAAAAAAATAAAATAAACCCATTCATTATGACTATTTTTCTTTTAATGTATTTGTTTTTTTGTTTTTTAGGGTTTTTTTGTTTTTGTTTTGTTTTGTTTTTTCTCTTGGGGACAGTGTTGCTAACATTGGCCTTGTGTTGCTTTGTTTTTATTCAGGTTTTCCTTTTCTAGAATAAGTCAGATAGCAAGGCAAATTATTTCACCTGAGAATTCTTTCTAAAACTGTCGATAATTAATGATCTGATGATGAAATGCCATGCCAAATAAACAACGATAAGCATCGTCCGAATATTGAATGACAATATCACTTGCTAGATCTTTACAGAAAAATCTAGTTTTAATGGCGCACAATCAGAATTTTATGAAGGATAACGTCTTCCAAATATCTTTCTGTTGACCAGAATTATATCACCATCAACCTTTTCTGTATCTAACGCATCACTTTTCTTTTTCATATCTGTGCTATGCTTCTTCAGGAAATGAGCAACCACAGCTTCCTCTTCGTTATGACCCTAATCAGCGTTTCTCAATTTGTGAAGCCTCCTGATCACTGATCGGCTTTCCATTCGCACAGAGTCGCCACCTTCTCATCATTCTTGCCTTCGATATGACGTTTGAGAGTTAAGTTTTCCAAGTCCTCTTTTCTCATGTTTCTATCTGATTTTGAGTAATGTTCTCTCTGTTGTCATTTTCTTCAAGGCTTTCATGTTGCTTACTCGCTCTGTCAATTGAATCCTAAGTATCCTCCTACAGAAGCACACTTCAGTTGCCTCCAGTTTTCACTTCATCTGCGCTGAGAGATTGTCCAGTATTCACAGACTGGCAAGAGGATTTGGCTCACTTTCTTTGTTCCTAACGAATGTTTCCAGTCTCTTAAGAGTTTCTTTTCGGTTTTGGAATGCATCTTTCTCTAATCCCGTGTCACTTCAGCTTTCGCTGTCATATTTTCCAACTTCTGTTCATACATGAAGAAAAGGCCAGGGAAAGTATTATTAACTTGGAAAAGAAAGACAGAATAAAGTAATAAGATAGATAGATAGATAGATAGATAGATAGATAGATAGATAATGGAAAACTGAGAGAGACAGTTAGAAAAAGGAAAAGGCTGAGGTCTAGGTAAGTAAGAAGATAGATAGATAGATAGATAGATAGATAGATAGATAGATAGATAATGGAAAACTGAGAGAGACAGATAGAAAGGGAAAAGTCTGAGGTCTAGGTAGGTAAGAAGATAGATAGATAGATAGATAATGGAAAACTGAGAGACAGATAGAAAGGGAAAAGGCTGAGGTCTAGGTCGGTAAGAAGATAGATAGATAGATGTAAATAGAAAAGAAAAACTGATATAGATAGATAGATAGATAGATAGATAGATAGATAGATAGAAAACAGAGACAGAGAGAGAGAGAGAGAGAGAGAGAGAGAGATAGAAAGGATAAAAGTTGAGGTCTAGGTAGCTAAGAAGATAGATAGATAGATAGATAGATAGATAGATAGATAGATAATGGAAAACTGAGAGAGACAGAAAGGGAAAAGTCTGAGGTCTAGGTAGGTAAGAAGATAGATAGATAGATAGATAGATAGATAGATAGATAGATAATGGAAAACTGAGAGAGACATATAGAAAACTAAAAAGGCTGAGGTCTAGGTAAGTAAAAAGATAGATAGATAGATAGATAGATAGATAGATAGATAGATAGATAGATAGATAGATAGATAGATAATGGAAAACTGAGAGACAGATAGAAAGGGAAAAGGCTGAGGTCTAGGTAAGTAAGAAGATAGATAGATAGATAGATAATTCGAAAACTGAGAGAGACAGATAGAAAGGGAAAAGGCTGAGGTCTAGGTAGGTAAGAATATAGATAGATAGATAGATAGATAGATAGATAGATAATGGAAAACTGAAAGAGACAGATAGAAAGAGAAAAGGCTGAGGTCTAGGTCGGTAAGAAGATAGATAGATAGATAGATAGATAGATAGATAGATAGATAGATGTAAATAGAAAAGAAAAACTGATATATATATATATATATATATATATATATAGATAGATAGATAGATAGATAGAAAACAGAGACAGAGAGAGAGAGAGAGAGAGATAGAAAGGATAAAAGCTGAGGTCTAGGTAGCTAAGAAGATAGATAGATAGATAGATAGATAGATAGATAGATAGATAGATAGATAGATAGATAGGGAAACGGCTGATATTTAGATAGATAGAAAAGAAAAAACTGATATATAATTATAGATAGTTAGATAATGGAAAACTGAGAGACATAGAAAGGGAAAAGGCTGAGGTCCAGATAGAAAGAAAGAAAGAAAGAAAGAAAGAAAGAACAATCGAAAGAAAGAAAGAAAGAAAGAAAGAAAAGGAAAGGGCTGAGATATAGGTTGGTAGATAGGCAGGAAAAAAATGATAGATAGACAGAGAGATAGAAAAGGAAAAGTCTGAGATAGATAGATAGATAGATAGATAGATAGATAGATAGATAGATAATGAAAAGTTTGATAGGTAAAGAAACTTCGCTTGATTTATAAGTCACTAATCTTGTATTATGTAAAAAAAAAGTATTCTAAATTATCCCAGAGTCTGCAATAATCGGTACATTCCTTTACACGCAAAAAACTTTAGGAAAGGTCGTCCCCCAACTATGGCTTAAATATAGAAAATTTGTATCTGTAACTTTCATTGTCATTCTCAAATTTTGTTAATGTAGTATTCACTTTGCAAAATAATTATTCTTACAATCATTTCCGCCTTTAAATAACACTCAAAGTGTTGATAATCCATAAAAAAACATCACTCAATCTGCAATATTCATACCCCTGTCTTAAGAAATTTTGACAAAAATTTCAACCACCCACTTCTTATCTCAACCATAACCCGTTTATTTATTTATTGTAGAAATATCTTCGAAAAAGTTTCTATTCAATGAAAATGTTCCTTTAGAATTGAGAAACTACTTGATACAGATGCAAAAACTTTACCTAAATTATAAAACATTCAATTTTAAAAATTAGTTCGAATTGTAACAAATTAAAATAATATTTTAGTCATGTAACATTCCGTTTTTCTTCGTTATTTTAAATGCTTTATCTGCCGCGTGTATGCGTCTGTCCTGCACGCTAGATAAACACCTTATTGCAATTGTAACTATGAAGACAAAGTATGTTCATCAAAAAGTTTATTAAGAACAAAGAGTGAAGTTAGAAAAATAAACAAAAACTTGAAATTAAATTAAGTTTTTATTTGTTTATTTAACTAGTTCGAAATAAACATCGTTGTACGACCATGGGTCTAATTGTGTAAGTGAGGTAGCATATAGTTTCCTTTTAAGAACACGTATAAAGTTTATATTTCTCAGAAAGGAAAAAGGTTGAGAACTCAAGACGTGGTGAGAGGAGTTCTACATGGAGGAATACAACAATGAAATAAATTTAAACAAATGTTCAAATAATGATATGATATCAAAGAAGACCAATGCGGAGAGAAAATGTTAGAAAGTTACATACCGGCGATGTTATCCTAAGGTGATAAATCTAGGAGGATAAAATATTGGTGCTGCGTGTTCTGATCCTGCTTTTTATTGTGCCGTTTCCGTTGATTATTAAACGCTGAACAGGAAGTGGTCATAAAACGGTGACTAATCTAAAATGTACATTTTATATTAAAATCTTTCAACCCAAGCAAGGCTGTAATGCCACTAGTAAGCAGGGGGTTACAGGGAGTGAAAGTGAAAGAGAAGATTGAGAATTGGGAGGATTGTGGAAAAGAAAATGGTGAAGTGAACAGAATCTCTGAAGATTGTAGTTTTCAGAGAAACAAGTAAACGGAAGGGAGTTTCACTTTCGGGAAGTGCAAGAAAATAAACTGTTGGAGTAGAAGTGGGGGTTATATTAGTAAAGTAAAAATGGCGGAATCTAAATGTCAATCTAGTAGCACGCTTAAATCGATGTAGTCGGAGCAGCAGTAAAAAAAAGTTCGTCAGAGCAGTTGCCATGAAAATATTTGTAGAAAAGTCAAATTTAAACCGAATAAAACAAACAAAGGAATAGTAAAACACATGTTCTTTGTTGCGTTAAAAGAACATTATAAGTAATTTCAAAGATGTTCTTTAAAAAAAAGGCCATTTTGAGTGCTTGACGAATGCTGAAACTTCGGCAATGTTCGTGTCTTTGTCGGAATCTATTCATGGCTATATGTAACAACCCTCGGCGATTACTTGACAAAAACAAAACAAAAAACAAAACAAAGAAACAAAACAAAGAAACATAAGCAAATGAATAAACTTTAGAAACGTACTTTGTAAATTTTATATTTATTCACCATGAATTTTTTGGTACAAAGAAAATTGTCTTATCTTTCATTAACCTATCTATATCTATGAGATGAGTTATTATGATTACTTGCAGTTATTTACATTATTCGGACTGTTATCCTCATCTTCATTGGCATATTCACAACGTTTCGGCCGTTGTACGTTCCGGCCTTTATGTCTATGTCTCTCTATATATCTGTCTATATCTATGAGATGAGGTATTATGATTGCTTGTATTATTTATATCATTCCGAATGTTATCCACGTCTTCGTTGCAATAATCACAAAGTTTCGGCCGTTGTTCGCTCCGAACTTCTTCAGGTAAATGGAATTTTTCCACAATATCTGTCTATATTTCTGAGATGAGATATTATGATTTCTTGTATTGTTTATTTTATTCCGACTGTTATCCACGTCTTCGTTACCATATTCACATTTCGGCCGTGTTCGCTCCGGACTTCTTCAGGTGAATGGAATTTTTCCTCAATAGCTGTCTATATCTCTGAGATGAAGTATCATGATTGCTTGTATTATTTATATTATTCCGACTGTTATACACGTCTTCGTTACCATATTCACAACGTTTCGGCCGTTGTTCGCACCGGACTTCTTCAGGTGAATGGAATTTTCCCTGAAAATCTGTCTATATCTCTGAGATGAAGCATTATGATTGCTTCTATTATTTATATTATTCCGACTGTTATCCTCATCTTCCTTGCCATATTAACAACGTTTCGGCCGTTGTACGCTTCGGCCGTAATGTCTATCTCTCTATACATCTGTCTATATCTCTCAGATGAGGTATTATGATTACTTGCATTATTTATATCATTCGGACTGTTATCCTCATTTTCATTGCCATATTCACAACAAATATATTTTATCTTATATTAACCTTTTAGTGGCCAGTCATAATTTTATTTCCGTAATTTCTCTGTATATTATCGATAAAATTGGCAGAATTAGTATTCGTCTTTTATAGTATAATCGGTCTTAAATTATCTTCCACGAGTGAAACAATGAACTCTAAAAGATATCATAACTTGTTGCATGTTAACATACCCAGCCTCAGATTTTCCCACACCCGCTTATTCCGACCCCTCACTTATTAGTATTCATACAAATTTCCACAATCTCTACTTATTCAAACCCAACCTTTTATTCAACAGTCGACTTGCAACTAAGTAACTAGATAGTTAAGACTTAGGTATGTACGTAGAATTAGCTAAATTATCTGAACCTCTCCAGCGTAGAAACATATTCTCTTGAACTGTAAACACCAGGACAAATTCATCCACGCCAGAATCCCATATATTTAAGCGTAATGAGAAAAAAAAGCCAGTATCATGGAGAGCAGATTGTCACGTTCAAAAACTTGCAAAGGAAATTTAAAAATCTAATTGAAATAAAATGAATAGGTGATTCATGCGAAACAAATCTCCAAATCAACCATTCGCCCTTGCATGGAGTATTGCTGCCATATATGGTCTGGAGCCCCTTCTGTTTGTCTCGGGGTTCTTGATAAGCTCCAGAGACGGATATGCAATATAATTGGCCCTGATCTGACATCTCGTCTGCAGTCGCTCTCTCACAGACGCGCCGTCGCCTCACTCTGTCTTTTTCACAAATACTTTCACGGTAACTGCTCAGATGATCTGCTTTCGCTGGTTCCCAGACTTCATGAATTCAAGCGCCCTACGAGGCTGGCATCTCGCACTCACCCTTTCACTGTCGAAACTGTTAAATGTAGCCGTCTCTTCTACTCCAATAACTTCATATCTCGAACCTCTCGTCTGTGGCACTCATTTCTTTTTTCCTGCTTCCCTGATAGCTATAATCTCCAACTATTCAAATGTAATGTCAATCGACATTCCAGTTGCCTTGATCTATCCACTATCCTTCTCCTCATCGTTTTCCTCTATCACTCCAAAACTTTTGTAACTCCTTGCGTCCTAGTGGCTTCCCGCCTTGCTTGGGGTGAATCGATTTAAAAAAATCATGGCTTATTAAGAAAAGATAATACAGACAAAACCTGGTGTGTAATGGTTTTCTGAGTCGTTCTGAGAATCGCATCTAAGAAATAGAAACTGCGTTAGAAAACTTAATCAAACCTCGAAAATTCAGTATAAAATAAGGGGATGTTGGTATTGATTTTATGGGAGGTCAATGGAGGCAAAACTTCTCTTTTCAAACTTCCGTAGCAGAATTATTTCCTAAATCGTTCTCTTTTATCATTTTAATATCGTCGTTAGCTTTATCTCGCATCCAAGAATTTAATTCCTTCTTTTCTAATAGCTTCCCTTATGATGATGGCGTTGATGCCTAATGAGACCAATTCTTTCATTTAAGATCCGATAACGCCCATGCATCGTGGAGGATGAGGTCAAATTTGTCGAACTTTTCTATCTTGTCGTTTGACATCTTCCTTCTTCTCGTGGTTTCGAAGTTAGATTTTGGTTTCGATAGTGGTTTTCAGTGTAATTTTGAATTGATCCTTGTATCATCGTAGAGGCCAACCCTCATGACCTTTTCCCTGACGTGAGCTCATTGAATAAGACTTTACGTGGAAACTTTTACTCTTTCATTTAGCGTATATGTCCTGACCATCGAAGATGGTCTTTAATGATCGGCAATTCGATTCTTTGACTGCTGGCTCTTTTCAGGACTTTGATGTTGGTTACTTAGTATTGCTATTTCATGTTCAAGATTGAATGAAGCTTTTGCTCTGATGGTTGCTCCTTGTCGTGGAGGAGAGGCTTGCGTGGTCCAGTGGCTCTGACAGGGATGCCGTCGGGAGTTCTAAACTCCTGGTTGGTCCAATCTTGCCGGTACCATCGAAGATGACGACCCAGATTAAATGCGACCAACGCCAAAGTACCCAGCGTTGGAATAAGCGGATGATAATTATTACAGATCTCAATGATTGAACCAGCGAATGAACAGGGCTACGCATGACGGACATGCTACAGAAGCACATATGAATTAAGAATGGTCTTCTCTCTCTAATGATATATATAAAAGTGTGTGTGTGTGTGTGTGTGTGTGTGTGTGTGTGTGTGTGTGTGTGTGTGAGGTATCGAGATCCTGGTAACGTTATCATAAATCTTTTTTTTTTATTGTTGTCATTTTCATGTACTTTAGGAATTTGTTCCACATATTTATTTGCTCCTTTTGATATTATTGCACAAACTGCAAGAACCAA